CTTTGTCATTTTGAGATTTTTTTTTTGGGTATAAAATCATCAATCTTTAGATGAAAAATCAATGAAAAAAAGAGTTTTGTGAAAACAATTTAAAACCTCATAGGGTATTCTTGTAATTTCTAAAACCTCAATGAGTTCTGTGAAAAGGCTGAAAACCTCAGGAGGTGTTAGTGTAAATGACTCAAATTTGAACCTTATAGGAACTCTGTGTGGTACTAAATCACTCATGTATCTTACCATGTAATGTATAAAGTGTAAAATATTGTAGTAATCATTATAAATAAATGATTATGGTGTGTTTAATCTTCTTTCATTAATTACTACATATTTTCTACTATCGCAGTGTTTGTCAGCTCGCTATATAATCAACGTGAATAAATTAAACCCATCATGCAATGCATTTCCTTCTAATTTTTTGTGATAAAGTAATATATAATTGATTAAATAAACATCATCCAAAGTTTCAAGAAAAATTTCCAAGTCTTCTTACAATTTCCGTGGATTTATTCAATTTTTATTAATATAATATCCCGATATTTAATTCCATCAAAATTTCGTTATTTTTGAACTACAGATATTTTCAAAACCATCGATATTTTAGACGTTGATTATTACTTACCAGAAAATGACATGTTTGCCTTTTTTTCCTTTTTCTTTTTTAAATTGTTCTTCTTACAAAAAATAAAATGAAACAAAAGTAAAAGTAATCCCACGCCCTGGAGAGAAATTAAAGCCCTGCAAACCAAGACAACCAGAAACATCTTTGTGCCAACATTTTGCAAGATCGTTATATAGGGTTTAGGGACCTTACGCGACGGCACCACTTACAGAACCTCAGGGCTGCCCCTGAATACAACCATACCAAAAATTATAATAAAAATACTAATATAGGTTATTACGATGGTTAACATTTTCTTCGCCATACCCTGATTAACCCTGGCCATAATAAAATAACGATGGAAAGACAGGCCATTTTTTTTCTTGTTTTCTTCGTCTATCTTTTCGACGAAGGACCATAGGTCAATCGTATCCCCGTTCTTAAGTTTACTCCTTTTCACAACTTCATCCCAACCTTGTTCAAAAGAATACGTCCCATTGTCGTACTTTACCAAATTTAGCATTTGCAAATATTCCTCCTCGGGCTCAGGGCCCCGTCCGAAAAACTGAACTACTATTTTGTGTTTAGCATTCAGTGTTTCTTTCTCTTCTGGATTGAGAATATCGGCGTCAAGTCGCTTCCCCGGCATCTGTATATGGCCGTAGGAAGTCAATGACAGTCGGTCGACGAACGCTCCATCGGAACCTTCAAAGTTATGAATTACCTCCTTTATATTTTCAGGTATTGCCGAGTCCATCTCTTGAAGCTTTGATGTTGACCTTGTGAGATTGAGAGATCAGTGGGAAAGCTAGGTTTTGCACCCTGCTGGATCCATCAGCTTATATATATAGTACATTATGACACTTGGATTCCAAGAACTTTCAATACATGAATTTGGAAAGATTGGCAAGCGTGCTAGCCTATAATTTAATTGCATGGACATGTTCCAGAATGCTATAGTCTTAATTGCATGGCATGCATATATATTTAAAGGTTGTGCATGTTCCGTATTTTCTTCATTTGATCCATTAATAGTAATCTAAGTACTTTAAAAATGGCTCGTCGAATGTAGTATAGAGTTTAATTTCTCTTAATTTGATTGCTCACTCTCTTCCTCATCATGATCAGCTCCCACACATGTTTCCCTTTATTTCTCCTTTATTCTTTCTTTCTTTCTTTCTTTCTCATAAATTATTTCATGTCGATTAGGGAATCAGTACGCTTCAATTATTTTTTGAGAAGTGTTGTTCATGTAGAAACCAAATAGGGATTGTGGTATAGCTTTATACATATATAAGAAAGAGAATAACAACGGATCAAGCGAAATGATATTTTGAATTGCCTTGCAAACAAACGAAAAGATTGATTCCACATACAATTGAGAAGAAAGAATTTATGAGAGTGAGGGAAGAAAGGATAAATAAATATGGAGGAGGAGATGGAGAAGCTGATCAACAGTGGAGAGATTGAGAGAGACGTAGGCTAATGTTGATTAGTTGAGAAAAAAATTTTAAGGGCCGGTTTGATATCCCACTAAAAAAATAAACTTAAAAATCGTGATTTTTTTTATTATTTAAAAATGTGATTTTTCAAATACTTATTTTAGATCTAAAAACTTGTTGGGTATTGAACTCCAAACTATTTTTAAGATCTAAAAAAATTGAAATAAAAAACCCTATATTCCCAAATTGAAATTAACAAAAGAGAGAGAGAGAGAGAGAGAGAGAGAGAGAGAGAGAGAGAGAATGCAGAGAGGGAGGAGTGAGAGAGACCGTGGAGAGAGGAAAAAAAAAGGGTAAAACCTTACATTTTTTGTTTTTTAAAATTGGCCTTTTTTGAGTTGTTTTTGGGTTGCATTTTTGAAAAATGGGCTTTGAACTCAAAAATTATTTTGAATTTAAAAAATGGGATCCAAGTAGGATACCAAACAAGCCCTAAACTGTCCTCTCTATTTCTCCTTTCTTATTCTCTCTTCATGTCACAAATATTATTTCTTGTGAATTGAGAAATTAGGCTTGTTATGCCATTAACAACCCCAACAACTATCCTTATAGAGGTCATAAAAACCGGGTTAGAGGGACTTGTGGGTTTTGATGTAAAACAAAGAAAAGAAGACTTGGCTTGCTCTTCGGATCTGCGTGGTTGGGTTTAACAATACCCATCTTCAATTACTACGAATTGAGGGATGGAGAGGGGGAGAGAGGGAGGGAGGGGCGGGTCGTGACACGTGTAGAGAGTTAGAGAAGATCAACTAAAATAGTTTATATTCGTTTTGATCCAGCCAAACAATTTTGTTTTTGTTTTTTTTGGTCTGAACCACGAGGTGGTCCTGGATGGGCTCCAACTATGAATGGCACCTTTAAGCCTTAACCACAACCCAGACTAATCCCCGTTCACACCGGGTCGGCCCGTAAGGAGTAAAGTGCTGGCCAAAGTGGTAAACAATTTTGTTTTTTCGCTTTCACATTTATACACAAAATGTTGAAAAATTCCAAAAATTACTTTTAATTGTTTGCTCTCCAAAGGGTAGGACTATAACCTTTGACCCTGTTTGGTGGGCTGGACTGGATAAGATTTTTTTCATTTAAAATGGACATGAGTCATGGCCATTGTTTGATGGGCTTAAAATGCATCATGAACTGGATGTAGTTATTAGATACCAGTCCATAATAACACCGTCTCTAGAACCCATCGCTAAGAACAAAAAGAACAAACAAGGATGACCAATTCTTTATTTAGATATTATTTTTAAAAACTAAAATTTAGTCTGAAATACCACCGTATCAAAATATATATATTAGTGGGTTCTAGTTAACCTTTTTTCCCCAAATTACCCTAGTTAACCTTAGCCATAATAAAATAACGGATAAACTTAGGCGGGCTATTTTTTCTCTCTTTTTCTTCGTCTATCTTTTCGACGAAGGACCACAGGTCAATCGTGTCCTCATTCTTAAGTTCCATCTCATGCACAACGTCATCCCAACCTTGTTCAAACGAATACGTCCCATTTTCGTACTTGACCAAATTTAGCTTTTGCAAATGTATATCACCATTAGACTTGCATCCGAGCAACCTGACTTCCATTTTGTGTGTAGCTTTCAGTGTCTCTTTCTCTTTTGGATGGAGAATATTGGTGTCAAGTTCCTTCCCCTTCATCTGTACACGGCCGGAAGTCAAAGACAGTCGGTCGACGAACGCTCCATCAGAAAGGTCAAAATCATCAACTACCTTCTTTATATTTTTAGGTAATGCCACCATGTTTTGAAGATTTGATATTGACGTGAGATTTAGAAGATCAGTGGGAAAGCTAGGTTTTGCACACCCTGCTGGATCCATCGGCTAATATATATATAGTACATTAGGGAACTTGGATTCCAAGAACTTTCAATATATGAATTTGGAAAGATTGGCAAGCGTGATAGCCTATAATTTAATTGCATGGACATGTTCCAGAGCATGCTATGGCCAAAATTAATTTCACGGGCATGCATATCCATGTAGGATCTCGAGCCTGCATTTAGACATTGCACATTTTCCCATTTTTTACTATATTAATTTGAGCCATTCTAGTATAATCTAAAGGGTAATTTGAGCCAAAATTTACTCTTTGTGCCTCACATTCTTGTTTCTAATTTGCAAACCTTGCTCAATTCCAAAGGGTCACTATCTAGTCGAAAACCTTCTTTTGAACAAAGATAACTAAATTGCCGCATAACTTTTTTTGTATTGCATCTCTTTTGTCCCCTCTGAACACTAAATCCAACTCTCATAGCATAATTGTTGTAGAGATTATAAGCTTCATCTTTAGTGGACACAACCTTTCCAAGCAAATCTTCATCAATATTAATTTTCTAAGGTTTTTTAGGTTTTAGACATAAAAAAAATTTCACTTTTGGAAAAAGCCAAAACTTTTTCAAAAAAGACAAAAAAACCACTCAACTTTCAAATCAAAGACATGCAAATGTATTGGATTCCTTAGGAAATCTAAAAATAAATAAGGGCATTTTTGTCCATTGAATACTGGCACACGCCACAACATTATCAAATCAAATATAAAAATAATAAATAAATAAATATATATATATATATATATATATATATACGATCCAATCGTCAGACTTGTTTGTATATACTTCAAGATCGTATACCCCAAAAATCACAAAAAACAAACATTCAGAGATCTAGTAACAGGACAAAACTTTTTTATGGTTATAAATGAAAAATCACGATTTAACGGTTATTTTAACTCCGATTTTGATGATTTTTTACAACTACACTCCTTGACCCTATACTCATTAGAAAAAAAATTTATAGGGTACCCTAAAGGGCATCCCTCAATAGAAGGGGACTGTATATAACCTGCAATGGACAAAAAAAAAACTGCAGCAATAGACTAGAAAAAAAAAAAAACTGCACCAATCAAGAAATAAAAACTACAGTAATCGAAAAACTGCACCAATCAACATCATCTTCATCAATATTTTCTACTTGGTTAACAATCATTGGATGTTACTTATACTTCTCCATGATTCTTCTGGCTTCTTCTGGACTGTCCTCCATCCCCTCCTCCTTTGGTGTAGAGGTGGTGCCTCCACCCCCCTTTGGTCCTTCATCCTTATTGAAAGCTATAAATGTAAAGTTTACAAGTCCCATCGTAGCCTGTTATCATACAATGCTTAGTTCATTACAATTACATAATATTTATGTACTTAAAAAATAAGGACTATCTATACAAGAATAATGCTCTCTTACTGACAAGAGGAAATTTACTTGTCTACATTGCATCTCATTTCCTTATAGAAACTAGTAACGCAGAAAAAGAAATTGATTTTAAAACACAAACACACAAATGATAGCACAAGCATACTTGACATACATTTTGGAAAAAGCAAGTCAAAATAACATCATCGATCTACTGTTCTTGCAGGAGGAGAGAAATAGAAACATACCAGCACAAAGAAAACTGTAGACAGTAAAGACTTGAGTAGAAAGAGTGAAAGAGCCAATGCAACTACTGTCAAAGAAACCCTTGCAATTGATCTTGGCACAGAATCCTAGCATCCAAACACAAAACGCAAACAGAAAATCACAAATCTTCAATTTGTACTAAAAGCAAGAAAAACACCCTGCATTGAAATTGCACAATCGATAAAAGTTTGAAAGGGTAGACTAAACATAACTTACCGGCACAAGATTGGTTCCTGCCTCAATTCCATCTCTCCCAACCTTCCAAACTGTTCGTACAACTATTTTACACAATTCAAACCAGTAGTCAACACAAATGTAAACATAAAACTCAAGGGTAAACTATCTGCTCTCTTGTATGAGCAGGAAAGCAGCAAAAGTAATTCATGTGATGCAGAAAGGTAGAAACACAGTGAATATTGGATGTAAACAACCATTGTCGTCCATATATAATGCAACTCAAAATCTCAACCAGAAAATTAAAATATTATCCTAACAATTCAAAATTCTGACTCAAAATTAGCCTGCATGAAAGGCTCGTACTTGAAAAGACTTCTTGGCCTACTTTTCATGCATAAGAAAAACAAATTTAAAATAACAAAAATTACCCTGAGAAAATCACACTTGCTGCACATGGCAGCACGTCAGCTAGGTTTCACCCACCAAATGGTAAGTTCCCATGGATTATGGTATGGATGATTAGCCAGTTCTCTTAACTACCCGATTAACGGGTTATCACTCTTTAAGTCTTTAATGTAAGAAGATCCAAGCTTTTCTAAACGGTTCCATTCTCTAGTTACAGCTTCACTGCTTCTACAAAAGTGCCTTTACTTTTCATGCCTGATTGAAATCTTTACAATAGATTTTTATTTTTTGAGGCCAATCATTTACAATTTCATTCTACTAACCACTAATCACCGGAGTTCCAAAGCACTGAATTGAAATCCACAATCAATTTTAAAAATCGCCAGGCGGTAGGCGGGCGCCTAGGCATTTCTTTTCAATTTATAATTATTTTGTATTAATCGCGGCCTGGTGGTGGTCATCGCGGGTGGAGGCCTGGTGGTGGTCGTCTGTCGTGAGAAGAGAGAGAGAGAGAGAGGCAGCGTTAAAGTCAGGAAAAAAAAATATATTTTTTCCCGCCTAGCCGCCTAGGTGGCCGCCTAGCGCCGCCTAGGCGGATTTTTCGAACACTCGACAATTTAACGTTAAAAATTGTCATAATCTAACTGAAATTAACATGCTTTCGACAGATATTCACCAATACAATGCTATTCAGTTGCAAAAATACCTTTTATCAAAATCCAAAAACCAAAAATATAAAAACACGATTCATAAAATAGCAAATTCGACAAACCCACGAAACAACAATGTTCAGGGATCATAAATACTAAACAGAAGAAGAAGAAATGCAGGGAAGTGCAGCTAGCTAACCTTTTAAGAAATTGGGCTGTGCAGCGAACACAACAAGAACAGAGCGATACCTCCCAGTCCTCTGCCTCTTATTAATTTGAAGAGCTGAGACCAAAGACTGCTTCTTTAACCTTAAAAATGACTTAAAAGAGAAGAATTGAGAGTGGGTGAAAGCTAGGGTTTGATTCTTGTAACATCTTGTAGAGTGTGGGCCCGGGGTTATGTATAGGCTCCGGAACATAACTGAGCCAGCCATCAATATCTATCTCCAATTTGATTACTTTACGCATACTAATTGAGAACTGGAACCGCCATTTTAGCTTTCATCCAGTGAGTCTCTCACTTTCTCTCTCAGCCTCGCAAGCAGCTATCGCTAACCTAGTTATGGCTGAATTTGTTATTGATTTGCAGAGCTTGGCCATTGTTTGTGCAGTTGGGGAGAGAGAGAGAGAGAGAGGAGTTTTAGGGCGAGGGTGGGATAGGAGGGATGGATTGTTGTGGGCTGTGGCCTTTTGGTTAGGGTTAGGAAGGGGACTGTCATGAAGGAGAAGGGGGAACAAGGAAGGGGAGCTTGTGGGATAATTAGGTTGAATTTTTTTTTTCTTTTTAATTATGTTAGTTTTAAAACCTTTGGCCCATCGAATGTAGCGTATAATTCAATTTCCGTTTATTCAATTCTCTCTCTCTCTCTCTCTCTCTCTCTCTCTCTCTATCTCTCTCTCTCTCTCTCTCTATATATATATATATATGTTTCCCTTTATTTTTCCTTTATTAATTCTTTCTTTATTTTTCATAAATATTCATATCGATTACCCTCCGTTTGAACGATGGAATTAAAATTTATATAAAATTCTTAAATGATAGAATTTAGATCTCCATCGTTTAAATTTCTAGTAGTTAATAATTTCAGTGTTTTGATTTATTTATGTCGAATTTTGTAAATGACATATATTACAGTGAAAAGGAATTTTTGCTTTTTTTTTTTTTTTTGTTTTTTGTTTTTTGTGTGTGTGTGTGTTTGTGTGTGGAGAAAAGATTGTATTTCATTAAACCAAAAAGAACTTTACATGGTAAGAATTAGCATGTTAACGGTGGCCTAGTTAAAACATTCATAGAGAAAACAAAACTCCGGGGTAGGAAATAGTACCACCCATGCTATTGCCTAAACAGAAGAGTCAAACAGCTTATATGAAACAGATAAACTTAACACTCAACCGCAAAACCCTTAAAACAACATCTCATCACTACGTAGATACTTGATTATGTAGTATATTCCTACTGAAGAACAAGTAGCATACATCTTCACAAAGGGATTGCATGGTCCTATTTTCCTGAGACATTGTACAAATTTGCAACTTAGCAGCTCAGCTGAGTTTGAGGGGGAATATGATAACTGTATTGTCCAGGTCCTTAAGACTGTTATCAGATATATAAGCTATAGCTTTACATTGTAATCATCAATTAAGCAAGATCAATACACAATTCTGAGCTTTTCTCTGCTTTCTTCTTCCATCTTCTCTAAAACTCCTCTACTGTTATCATAATCCACCACACTGAACTCGTCATTTTTGTCATCAGAGTTATGCACTGATATTGGAGGGGACTGGACAGAAGGATGTGTTGGGACAGTATAGTCTACCCCAAAACTCATCATTTGAGTTTTGCATTGGAGGAGGTTGGGCTGGAGGATGTGCTTGGAGGAGTACAATCCGCGTTAGACTCTTCTCCTTGGTCCTGTACTGGAAAATATTAATTCACACTTTTAAGCATTCAACCTTGAAAGAAAATGTGAAGGAAAATTAATTACTATTTTATTTGTATATATTTATTCATTATACCCACATGGATGTCATGTTGGCCAGTTGCTGAAGATCCTTTTAGTACTGCAGCAGGGCGGAATTCCTTGGGCCGAAAAAATTGGATATGTGAAGCTCAAAATAAGACTATATATATTTCATTTAGACCCAAAAAAGAAAAAAGAGATATTTTCATGACTATATCTTACCTTCAACATTATGGAGGTGAAGGAAAAAGAGAACAAGGAAGACAAATGTGCAACCCGTTTTCTCACAATTTGAGTTTCTCATTTCAGCCTCAGGCCTTCACCAACTTTAGAATTTGTTAATCTAATAAGCTTGAGATGTATATAGTACAGAAAATACGAGTGAGGAGGAAGGGTATTTTTGTGCATGTATATAAACACAAGTATGTATGTGTGCACGGACCTAATTAAGGATAGAAACCATAAATAAGCTGTCAAATTATTTCTGTCCTTATTTTATTTTATTTTCGTGGAAAGATATTCAATCCATTAGAAGGGAGAATCTAAAGAATTTGACTAATTAGAAGTGGTTAGAAAAACATTATTAAAAAAAAAAAAAAAACTAAGCATGTGGATTAATATTATTTGGAATAACTAGAGTGAATATAATTTATTAGTTAGTACCGAAAATAAACTACTATATTCATTTGTAACTAGGGGTGGGCACGGTATGATTCTCACCCCAAATTGGAATTGAAATTGGCATTATTCATTTGATTCGATTTTGACAAAACAATTATCCGGTTTGGCTTGCCCGTAAGTCGGTTCGATTTTTGGTTTTGGACTGGAATTTTTTTTTTTTGTTGAATTTTTTAAGTACAAAATCCAACTAAAATTTTATTTTTGGCGATTAAAAATTCACGAATGCCCAAAATTTATGCAAAGGGAGGTGAATGAGCCTAGAAAAAAGAGGTGATTTGGTGTTGGGCTTGGGGAAAGATTAGTTATGGGTTTAAAAATTTAGCATTTGAGTTAAATATTTTATTAAAAAATTAAAAAACATATAGCCGGTTTGATTTTTTCACTTCACGAATTGGAACCAGATGTTTTTGGTGAAATCAATTTTTTCAGCCCAATTTGGCGTGGTTTTTCGATTTGAATACCCACCCCTATTTGTAACGAAAGAAAATTTACTAGGTGCAATGAATCATTTGAAGTCCTTGAATTTTTATTATTATTTTGTTGTTGTCAAAGTTAAGGGTTGGGGGGGCTACACATGTACTATGGGGGCTTGAACCTAGGACCACTTAGGAGCACATCCAATTCAACTAACACCCCATTGATTTTCTGCCATTTCTTCTACTAATAAAAACTTAAGCATAAACATTAACAATAAATACAAACTTTGATACATCGCTAACATATTATGTTCAACACAACAACTTAACCATAAATATTAAGAAACTAGTTCTTTGTATTGAAAGCGGTCTTTAAAAAAAAAAATTACAAATGATATTCTATTTAATTTAATTTGTACTACTATGAGGGGAATTCAAATTTGGGTACAAAGTGAGGATCACATCTGATATACTTGGCTATATTTGCTATTGAAAGAGGTCTTAAATTCAAATTTCCCCACTCCATTAATAATTTTTATATATTTATAAAGTTAACACAAATCCATAAACTTGAAATCTCACAATTCAAATATGGATCCGCATTTAAAATGCAAAATAATAATAAAAATAATAATATTAAGTATCAATATAAATGTTTCTATATATAGGAGCCCTTCAATGTAAACAAGGATGGCCAATTGCTTATTTAAAAATTATCTTTAGAAAAGTAAAATAATTTAGTCCGAAAAACAACCATATATATATGTATTACCCTAGCTAGTCAACCTTGGCCAGAATAAAATAACGAACCGTTTCGGTGTTCTCAGGCGTAATTTTTTCCTCAACGACGAAGGACCACAGGTCAATGTTATCGCCATTCTTAAGCTTATATATTTCCACAACGTCATTCCAACCTTCTTCTTCAAAAGAATATGTCCCATTTTCGTTCTTGACAAAAACTAGACAGCGCCAAGTCTCAGCAAATAAGTAGCGTCCGACCAACACCACTACCAGTTTTTGTTTAGCATTCAGTTTAGCTTTCTCTCTTGTATGGAGAACATTGGTGTCAAGTCGTTCCCCCCGAATCTGTATGCGGCAGTCGGAAGTCAAAGACAGTCGGTCGACGAACCCTCCATCGGAACCCTCCATAGTACGAATTAGGTTTTTTATGTCTTTAGGTAATTCCGAGTTCTCCATCTTTGAAGATTTCATGGCACGATTGACCTTGTGAGATTTAAAGCTAGGTTTTGCACGCCCTGCTAGATCCATCGTCGGCTTCTATATATATAGTACATTAGG